GGGAGGCGGGGAGGAGGCGGAAATTTTTTCAATAAAAATAAATAAATAAATAAATAAAATGAATGCTTTAAATTAATAATTATAAACCTTATGGAAATATGGTGTATGTCAGATATAAAAATATAATCAGAAGTCATCTCTGAGTAAATATTTTGTGAATAATGTATGGAAATGAAAGAGTAATTTCCCATTATTCTATATCCTGAGTAATAGGGTCATGTACCCCATTCCTTGTGCAGAGTGGATTTTAATAAACTCTATTAATATTATTTTAAAAAAAAGATATACGTACAACCTGTTTAGTCCTTATAAAGTTTCTTATATATATATACGATTTCCGGGAACACTCAGTATTTTGGTAACCAATTTGAGGGTTCTTCCCTGTAGAAGACTTCCATATTTTGAAAGTTTTTGTGTGACTCGGAGTCATTTCTGCTGCGAATGTTTGATGGGAGTTATCAGGAAAACCTTCTGCACTGGGCTTCCATCTAGGAAGCTGTTTGATAATTAGGCTATTTAGATGTCCTAGTTCTCAGATCAAATTTCAAACTTTTCCCAAGAATTTTAGTGGTTAGATTTTTTAGCATAATTTCTTATTATTATTCTTTTATTCTTTAGCTGCTTGCAGGATTTCTATTGGTGGTAGCCCCTTTTATTTCTCATATTGATAATATATAGTTTCTCTCTTTCTTTTTTTTAATATTTATTTATTATGTATACAATATTCTGTCTGTATCCTACAGGCCAGAAGAGGGCACCAGACCTCATTACAGATGGTTGTGAGCCACCATGTGGTTGCTGGGAATTGAACTCAGGACCTTTGGAAGAGCAGGCAGTGCTTTTAACCGCTGAGCCATCTCTCCAGCCCTAGTTTCTCTCTTTCAATCAGTCTTGTTTAAGGGTTTGTTTGTTTTGTCAACTGTATTTTAATCAGCTTTTCTCTTTTATCTATTGAATGTCTACTGCGTTGATTCATGCTCTTATTTTTATCATCCCCTGATTTAAATTTTTTTAATAATCTGTATGTTTAAGCTGTTTTAGTGGTGTGGTACTATGAATGTAGTTGGTCCCCATACACTCACAGGGAGTGGCACTATTAGGAGGTATGGCCTTGTTGGAGGAAGTGTGCCACTGTGGGATGAGCTTTGAGGTTTCCTGTGCTCAGGATGCTGCCCAGTGTCTCAGTCAACTTCCTGTTGTCTGCAGGATGTAGGACCCTCAGCTCCTTCTCCAGCACCACGTCTGACTGTATGCCACGTGCACTTCCCACCATGATGATAAAGGACTGAACCCTGAACTGTAGGCGAGCCACACCTACTAAATATTTTCCTTGTAAGAGTTGTTGTGGTCTCGGTGTCTCTTCACAGCAATAGAAACCTTAACTGACACAAATGGCTTCTGAAAATCTGATACAAT